CATTTCAATGTGCAGTGAATTAACAAATGATACTCAGTAATCAATAAATGAGCATTTTCTTATGTCCATAATATGCAGTTTGTTTCTTTGTCATCAAATCATGCACTTAGGGACTTGTCAGAAATTAGCAGGGGGGAGGGGGGTGGAAACAGAGGGAGGGTCACAACTTTTTGAGACTGCAGAAAAGGGAGGGGTCATGAAAAATGGGTCGTTTAAAAGGGGGAGGGTCATGTAAATATGTGGCCGTGATCATGTAGAGGTTCACCCACAGAAGAAAAAGGAAGTTCTTTATTCTGTCAAGTGATCAGCTGTCAGAGTCAGAGTTGGACTCTTAATGCTGTCATCTAAAATGTATATGTATAGCTACAGCATTGCAAAGAACAGATTAGAAATATATTTTAAGTTTTCATAATACTGAGTCACTCTAGTGTATTGCAAGAACTAGAATTTCTCATTTATACAATAGGAGGAGGGCCATGATATTTTAGGCCAAGCTCAAAGGGAGGGTTAGCAAATTTCAATCCCATTGCAGGAATGGGTCACCTCATTTCCAAACCCACATTTCAAATTCCCACCCCCCCCCCTGCTAATTTCTGACAAGTCCCTTACTGAGATTCTTCAACACCACAGGCTCTCCATGAACATGCATGTTTGTTCTATGAGAAGTGTAATGCAGACCGTGTAAGCAAAATTGTGATAATTCTGTAACAAAGTTCTTTGCAAACTTTGTCATTACCATTCAACCCAAAACTGTCTGTGATTTTTGCTCTTTCACTCGAACTTAAAAACAAATAAAGACCTTATACAGATCACACTTACTAAAACGCTACTATAACACAGACCGTTAGCTGTCATAACACTGAACCGAAACTTACAACAACATCCTTTCTCATGCATTTTGTTGCTTTTCTTATGCATGAGTTAATTCAGACTAAGTATATAGCCTCCACAGAGGAGGGGGAAGGGGTGCGAGAGGTAAACTATAGCTATGCAATCCCGTGTTCCACTGGGCCCCGGTAAGTTCCACGTAGTGGTTCTAGTTACTCAAAGGTGTACTATTCAGTCTTCCTATGATTCTAAAATAACACGTTGCAGAATTAACCTCGTTCCCATATCTATCTGAGACACTTGCAACCATGCTTAGCCGTATTTATCAGTTCACAACTTGTATATATAATGATCCGGACAGTAGCCCTTTCCCACGACAGGCACGAAAATAGAATGAGAGTCTCCTATTGATATCACGGGCGTGCCGTCGGACTTGTGGGCGTGTAAATGCATTTGGCCGGCCTGTGTAGCTGACGAGATTAAGCTACCAACAGTAAAGACGGACTCAGCTTGTCTCCTCAGAAACGCCAATTGTCTGTGATAATGATCAGCTGGCGTTTTTCACTCTCATCCGTCAAAAGATACGATAAATATCCTTCAGGTTGTTTATTATGTAGCTGATTTTTAATCTAGTGGGGAAATGAAAATTGCCATATTTTTTCATGTTTATCAGTTTTTTGATCACGTCGAATTAAACAAACGAAGAAGAAAAGAGCGGAAACAGCTTTCGCGTACAAAAGCAATTTTGAAAGATGACAGGCCTTAATCGCATGGCAGTGTCGCAAAGATCGCTGAGAAGTCCAAACGTTGCAACAAGCCTCGGTTAATTTCGTGACATGGACATGCTTGAACTTTCTAGCAATACTTCGCCTGACGTAATAAGCATATAATAATAATGCAAAGTATGCTCTTATTAAAATTTATTGCATGCAAGGTCATTGTTGCATGGCACCCTGTTAAGTTAAAAACGCCCAGGTTGGCTCTAATTCCGCAGCCCATCATACCTCTAGGGTAGACTTAGTCGCCAGCCTTCGGTGTCTCGCGGTACTCCCTACCCGATAGACTACGAGTGGTCCCCATATTTCCTCAGGGATAGTAGAGCGAGCGAAACGCGAGCGCGCGTGAAATCACCCCACGCAAGAAAGGTGAGACACAGCCGGAAGATAGAAAAATGAGGCATTTTTCCCTCTCACCGCCGCGTCTCGCCTTTCTCGCGTGAGGTGATTTTCACGCCCGCTCGCATTTCGCTCGCTCTACTATCCCTGAGGGAAAATGGAGACTACTCGTAGTCTGATAAACGTACAAGAAACTTTAGCCCGTCCCATGATGCAACGCAGAGTAAGTATATATATCTACGTAGATCTACATGGCCTCATGGCCGTTCCCTGGTTTGACCAGTTTTTCAACCGTCTTTCTTCAGTGCTTGGAAGCGATTCACTTTAACCCAAGTTGCACCGTCACTCCATTGTAAGTAGGGTGAAAACCTAACATTTTAAAAATCAACTTAGTACATGATATTGTCTTGCACAGTATTTGTTACTAACGTGTGCAAGAAATATCACGTTGATAGAAATTATAGTAACTCTACTGTTCGCGTGAACGACGCGTGAACGTTGTTTTAAGGAATATCTTTTACATATAAGCTTAAGCAATTCAGTCTTAAAGTGTTTTTGTCTCCTGGAACTTCTGTAAACTTATGCACTGCGAAGAATACTCCATATACCCGGGCTGTATTGAACCGTTAACTCAACTGAAAGAACAGTAAGCGTTAAGCTTAACGTATTTCAATAACATTGGCATCTCGTTGACTAGTTTGTAAGGCATGGCACGGTAAGTTAACTTGTAACTGTTTTGGAAAGCTCGTTTTGTGAGTAAGTTCGTTTACCCAATCTATCTGTTTGGAAACGGCTTCGTTTTAAATATCTTTAAGATTTTGATTGCAATACGATTTGTTACATGTAGGAGCACAAAGTTTCGAGCCAGAGATAATTTTACTCTTGGCAAAATTTCCTGAACTTGAAAACGAAAAAGGTTCCTTTTTCCGTTATTTTAGATAGCGGAACTTCGAAAACGAAGCGACAAAGGACCAGGAAAATTGTTTGCTATAACGAGGTTTCGTTGAGCTTATACCAACGTTCTTTTTCATAATAAGTTTTGCGGTTTGTGGGGCAAAGAAAATCAGTCGTTTACCTAGGACTTCGTTATATAGAGGTTCGTTATATCGAGGTTCCTCTGTACATATAATACTTTCCGAATCGTAATGGTTGCTTCTTTTTATCGGTTGCAACTGTGGTAAGGCTCATATATGGCTATAGAATTCCTTTTAACGCAGTTGACCAGTACTCAGAAAATTGTAAATAGACTTAAGGTGCAAAAGTTCAATGTTTTAATCATTGTCATAACATAGTCAGAGTAGAATAAATGGAATTGCTGTTTGAACTTTCAGACATCTGATTTCAAATTAATTTTTAAATATCCCTCCACTGACTCTAGAATAATCACGTGTAGAGTAGATGTACTTATATGGATCGCAAGCTACTTACTGGTCACTAAACTTTATGCAAGATCTCTTACTCCACATTGAAACAGTCATGTTAAAACAGTCTGTTGGCTTGTTTATGTGCACTTGTATAAATTTTAACATTGGACGTAGAAACTTTTGTGTCAGATGTTACTACACAGATGTTAGAAGGGCTGAATGTCTGACAATGGCTGGTTTTATAGGTCCAACGTTATGATTTATATGTAACTGACCTAAGTTGATAAGAAGCAAAACCTACGAATTTGCAATATTAATTTATCTTTGCTTTTTGAGTATCTCCTTATTTTTCTTTTTTTCCGTAAGTGTGTTTCTTTCTTTGAAGAGATAAATGTACTCTAATGTTGTTGTAATTTTTATCAACTTTGTTGGAACACTTAGGAGGGATTTCAGCGAACCAGTTGAAGAGCGACTGTAATACACATAGAACAATGTCAAAACTTGAAATTGTCATAAGTTTAACCTTGCCAAGAAATATGTCTTCATTTGTGAGTAATGAGTCAACTATGTAGTTGTTCAAAGCATTTTTGCGGCATTAGTTGTATGTTCCTCTTTAGTCATCATAGAAAAATTTTATAGGTCAAGAATGAAGGGTGATAAGTTGACTTTAAGGACAATTTCACTTTGCGTGATCTTGATTGGGGTACCAAGAGACTGGATAACAGTTTCAGTAGTTTGGTTCAGCAAAAATACATGCACCTGTACAAGTTTAATTGAATAAACCTACCTTGCTTGTTTTGTGTCCTAAATATTGTATAAATTGGGTTGAGTTCATGATTGACAGTTGACATGGCCAAGGTCAAATTGAGAAAAACAACGGCTTAGAGAATGGTGAAGAAGCATTCCCTGAATGTTCTGTATCTTTGAAGTTCTTTATGATTTCTAATCATGGTTTTGGCCTAATTTGTACTTTTCTGAAACTGTCTGCGCCATCGTAGCTAACTTGGATACTAACCACTCTACCATTGTATTTGCTTCTCATGCGGTTGTCTGCTCTGACAATTCTGGCTATAGAGACAATGTGTACAGCAGATTCTTGTTTGACCACACTGCTATTTGGTTTGTGATTAAGTGAAGCATGTTCCTTACGCTCTCATTCTGTAACAGTGGTGAATATTAACTCTTCAGCTCATGTTCTTGTACGTGACAAGATTGTTTGATACAGTTCAACCTCAAGTCACATGATTTTCTGCTTTAACCACGTGCTTTGTTGCTTTTCTATTGTCTGAAATTTGGAAGTTGCTTTTTCCGGAGACGAAGCTAAAATCACCCTTTTCCATGTTTGTTGCTGATTAATATTTGTTGTTAAATCAAAAGTGGAGTAAACCGTTCACAGGCATAAAGTTTATTAAGCTGAGACAGTTGGATTCGGCCAACTGAATCACATGAGGGCAGAATTTACATACAGCACATTGTAGAATCGCAATCTGTCAAAACCTCCCTTTTTGAAATTCCTAATAATTCAAACTAAACCTTACTTCCCTTCACTGGTCAAACACTAATTTTAACATTCAAGTTTCTAAATCTCCTGATAGTTGATACCAATTTGCTTTTCACAAGGTGGTGCAAAAAATAATAGCGTTCCCCTTTGCAGTCATAAATTTTGAATAAAGCACGCACCCTCATTATTTGCATCACAAAAGAGGAAATGTGTCAATCATCACCCACGCCATGTCTATTCTATTACCCTAAGGGTGGTACAGCTGCTGTCTGTTTCCTTTTTTATTTCTGCTCTTAAAGTTGCCTGCGTCTTTAATTTGTAGACCAAGCATTTTTCTCTCCTTCCAACTTTTGCAACAATCGCTTCTCAGGGTAATCTTTCCACAGTCATCACAGGATAACTTAAAATTTCTAAAATTTTAGGAATGTTAATGCTTCCTGTGCGTGGGAGTTCATGCAGACATTTAACCCACAGGATTATATTGCTTTCTTAAAATTTGTGCTTGTGCAAGTAAAAGTGCTTTGTAAGCGTATTTTTCTGGAAACCTCTTGGTTTCATTGTGGATAGCTTTTTCTCCTTTTGTTGTGGTGATTTATTATTTTAGATGGAAATTAACAGACAACAATGTTTTCTTTGATTGTAGACAGAGTGTGGTGTATATTGCATCCATCATTTCGATGTCTCAGACTACTTATTTTTTGTTTGTGTCTATTCATGCTAATGTTGGAGGAACACTTACTGTATCTTGGTGAAAGGCAAAATTTGAAATCTTACACACTGTATGATACATGAAGTTGAAGATACATGTAGTTGTAGTTAAAATGTGATGATGAGTTCCATGGGTTTGAAGCAAAATAACACAACATAAAGTACTTCTACATTTTCATACACTCCTACATTGAACTGGTGCCATTTTGTGGAACTACCTTTAAGACAGTCTAATAACCTCTGACTACAAAACTAAAGCTCAAAGCGCAAAAGATTATTTAAGATGTCCCTTTTATCCCTATCTATCTTGTCTTGGCGACTGTAAATGTTACCAAAGTCATGCTTCAATTTAAATACATGTATACATGTTTATATGTGAAAATGGAGTTTGATAAGAATGATAATTTTTTGGCTTAAAAATACACTTGTGAACATTGTTATTTTAGATTGCTGCTGCTGCTGTGTCCATGAACACATTCAAGTGTTGTAGTAAAGAACATGTATGTGCAAATTCTTGCTGACAAAATAGTTAAACTACAGAAGGAAGTCCGTACTCCTTGCTACACACTTATTATCTTGCATCCCAGACTTTAAGCAATACTTATGACAGTAACATCTACTTACACAACATGTTATCATGTGCCTCAACTAGCACCATCTACCTCAAACATGCCATAAATATTATACCATTATTGTTACCTTTTTGCACACTGATATGAAGATTTGAAGTTAGTCAATTGTATATACAGTGCAAAATAAGTGATCAACATACATGTGGGGCCAGCATTTTGATGTTTTTGCTGGCTTTTTGCATACATTGTAGATATTACTATATTTTGTGTTCAAAGAAATAATGCTCTGCTGTGAAGACAAAAATTCTTAACACTTCAAAGTTTTGTCGAAGCAATGAGCCAAGGAACAGTGTGACTCTGTTTATGAAAACCTTCCGGATCTTCTCAGCTAAATAAACCAATTCTCTCAGAAAAATACTTGTTGTGCCTGTAAAACCGGTTATAGGAGCAGTTTTGTCATGTTTTGTATTTTGGGACCCAGACCCTTGCCCTGTGATTAAAAAATAACTCTTTGTTTTAACATGTGTTTAGCATGTGCTTGAAGGCCTTTTATTTTTTAAACTAATGCAAGTAATGTAGATTTTCATTGTCTGAACATGTCATGCATGTAATGAGAAATGTGGACTGCAAGTAAAAACCCACAGATAGGTGCATAATTTTGTACTCGACCACATTTTTGTTGCGTGTGTGTTGATACTGACCCTAGCACCTTAAGACTGTATCAGGCCATTCCAACTTCAATTATGATTTCACATAATTGACCTCAAATCTATTTTTCCACACAATTCGTGAAAAATCATATAATTTGTTATTTACATCTAAGGTGATTTACATACCACTAAAGAAAGCCTTGCAAGACATCTCAAACCTTCGATCGCAGTATCTTTGGGCAGCCTTTTTGATTTCAGAGACAAGTAGTGTGGCCAGCGGTGTAACAGCGTCATGTAATATTAAACATGTGTCCTTTTTCTTTCTTTCTACATTTCTATTTGTTTCTTTTCTGGGTCAAGATAATTGGACAAATTTAACCATTTTGTTTAAAAATAGATGTTAAATTATTCTTTTCCATTCAAATTGCCTGTTAAATAGCATTAAAGTAATTTTTGTCCTTTGAGACCTGGTTAAACAATGTTAATTAGCCCTGAAAAAAATTCATAATTAATCGCATAATAATCCTATCTTATCGCTCAATCTGCCCTGAAAAATAATGCTGCATAATTTCTGATTATTATTCAACCACAACCCTTTTAGTTTATCTTTTAAAATTTTCAAATAACTCTTCTCACTTTAACTAACCTTAGATTGTGCAGGCCTGTTCACTACCAATTTTTTTTTAAGTGAGCTCTCTTGATGAGTTGTTTTTACTTCGGCGGAGCGTGAAGTAAAGGATTCGCGACGCTCAGGAATGTATCAAAGTTGCAATTTTTTGACAAGATTGGGCAAGCAAAGTCTGTAGGTTTTCGGTTCTATTCGGCTATTTGACGAAGTGAGAGCCGAATTAGTTCGAGATATCTCGAGATTACCTCAATTTCTTTCATTTATTCTTTAACTTTTTCGAGGAAGAAAGAATTATTATTGTGGCTTTCCCGGGGTTTGAACCGACTCATCTGTGTGACCTGTCAGATCAGAGGAGACTCTAAGCTAAGGGATTAGCCGATTGCGCTACTGCGACCCAAGGTAGTTTGGCATACGAAAAATAGCTATGAAATGATGCACTAGTGTCAGGACAAGATTGGGCGTTCAAGTTTGTGACTTTTCGGTTTGTTTCATTTATTTCACGAAATGAGACCGGACTACTTCGTGATATCTTGAGATCACTTCGAGTTTAGTCTTTAATTACTCGAGGAATAAATAGAGGATATTTCGTGGCCGCGCAGAGACACGAAATTTCTCTTCGAGTGTTGAAAAACATTTCACGAGTGAGCCCTCCTTTCGAACTGTTTTATGATGAATTTAAAGTCACATAAAATGCTGCACAAAGACATTTTGTCTTTGTTGAGTGTTACGTAGTAAAATTGCTTTCATGCGTTGCGTGACTTTCTCGAACGTTCTCTACGTTTTTGGATTACCATGAATAATTAATTAGGGCATGTTTACATTTCAGCATGAGTCAGCAGATTTGCATCCGTCACTGAAATCATAAAATATGTCGAAAAGCTACTACTATTCGCCTGTTTAGTATTTTCTAGAACCTTATGTCAAACGGTATACAAGTTCCAAGCGAGTTCCTTTGACGAACTAAGTTTTTTCCCACGAGCTGGACTGCTGTGTTTAGCCAAGTGTGACGAAGGTTGATTTTCAGTTTCTGTGTTTACAAGTTCGTGGAAGCCGTAAGATATCTGAAGTTCAAGTGAGAGTTTGTCATTATTGGTAGAGGCTGTTTAGTTTTACTCAAAGTTCAAGTCAAGTTTGTGTTGGTGGATGCTGTGTTTTAAAGCTCTGTGAAGGCTATGTTCCTTTGGTGTTAAACTTCCTTGTGTTAATCCGACATCCCTGCGTGCTGATAAGTCAGTGAATAATTATCCTCAAAACATTCAAACTTGTGACTTTGAGTTTTAGCCAATTCCATGCTCAACGTAATTGACTCCTTACCCATGCCTTACATATCTTTAATCAGTACATGAGACTGCTATGCTGTTTTTGAAGCCTGATGTGACTAAGAAAAATAAAGAATTGTTTTTTTAAAAGGATTTGTATGTAGTCATCAGAGCATAACTGGGCTAATACCTCGGAGACAATTTGTCCCGAGATGCTAGTTTTTGGCAAGTAGGCCTCTTGGATGTTGCTCTTTTCAGAATATCCTGACAAATCCCATAATTTCACAAATTAGCACCTTACTCTTACCATATTTGATTTCTTACTATTCCTCCGCATTTACAGTTATCCACAACCATGACGCCGAAGTTTACGCTCCGTAGCGTCTTGTTACTCTTAGGACAAACCTCATCACTAAAATATGTTTACATGAAAAAACTACAGCTGTATCACAAGGGCATTCAAAATGAACTTAACTGAAATGTAAGGTACCTTACAGTAGTTACGTACTGCCATAACACTGCCTCAGAGAAATTAATGAGCTTGATTACGATTACAGTGTTTTTCAGAAAATCAAGCAAGGTGGTTTGATCAAATAATCAAAACATTTTGGTTTGAACTCCATGTACAGAGTAGACCATAATCCTTTATCAAAGGAAATGTTTGGACAACCATATGCTCAAAAAGAACAAAAAGTGTACTTTTGAATTACTTGTGACTTAATATGCCCTAACAAATGCCCAGTGTGATTCCTTTAGGATAAAAATGGCACACAATACACTGTGAAAGGCTTGAACCCAGGAGTCATTTCATTATAAGTAGATTAAGTATGATCATCCAGGTTAGGACTGTTGTTGACAGTGATTAAAGTTTTGACAACCTGTGTGGTAGTCATCTTCAAAGTCAAGTGAGTATAGTATGTGCATATGGAGTCAAAGTGCATTCTGCAGGGCAGACCCTTGATAGACTACAAAAGAGAAAAGTCTAATCGGATGAAGTATCTTATGTTAAGCTTTAAAATAAAAGCTTTTTTCTCTACAAAGCTTGCTTGGAAACAAAGCAACTCTCAGGTAGCAGAGAGTAATACAAGAAAACCCAAACATGCATCATAATATAATAATGCACTGTATGCTAAGTAAAATAAACAAAGTCAAGTTACCCATCATGTGACATTAAACCTACTGTTTATACTCTAAACAATTGATCAAAGGCTACCCTATTGTGCTGATATAAAATTCTGGCAGAGTTTTCCTTTTGAGTAGATAAAGGTAATTATATTCTGATCACTTTGATTTTGAAAAGATTCGGTATGATGAAAACATCCTCCTTGGCAAGGGTGAACGAAACATTTTACTGAGTTAGCTGTTACAAACATGTACACATATGTATGGGTATAAATAGAGAAAACTGTCTGGATTTCCACAAAGCATTTCGTACAGACAGTCAATCTTGCACCAATCCTTAATGTAAAGTGTGTATGTCAACTGTGTATACTGGCAAGATACCAAAACTGTGATTATTGATTGGTCGACTGTTTAGGGTACATGTACATTACAGGCCTTCTGATAGAGTGCGATCAAAAATTATTTTCATTACCCTTTCTGAATTGTTGTTCCCTATAGATTATACGACTGAGTTGAAATCAGTTGCATTTTAGCTTTTTGAAAATGCATAAGTTCATTACTTGCTTGATTGCACAATTAGGCATGGCTATAATAAAATAAATATTTTACACACTATTAAAATTGGGTGCACACTTTCTAGGATATGGTGGTTAATGGAGCTCACAGTTATCTAGTTGAGAATGCAAAACTTTTATAGTATAATGCAATAAATGCATATGTATTGTTAGACTGTAAAAAAAGTTGACAAGAAAAACACAGCAGTTATTTTTTTTTGAACAAAAAAAAAATTTAAATGAGTAAAATTGTAGTTCATTGCATTACGTATTGAAATCTTTTGTGCATATGAAGTACTATTGTACATGACTTGTACATAAATCATATCATGGGGCAAAAGGTCTTTTGAAATAGTTGGTCACATGAGATCAACTGTCTGTAAAAACAAAAATAATTCTTTGGAAAATTGTTTTAGCAGGAATTAAAAGAGCATTATTATAGAACCTGTAAATCTTCAGCCATATATCTCAGAACTAGCTATTGCAAGGCTGCCAAAAATTAGGATTCATTGGATGAGAAAAACAACTATTGCCACCCATAGCCAGACACAGTTGAGTGGTTTTCCCTACAAATCCTTATAAAATTTGACATTTTAAAAGTGTCATCTTTCCCTTGCACAATATTACAGGGCTCAAATTTACTGTTCTGAACAAGAAAAAATTATTTTGATCCCTTGTTGCTCAAGAAATACACTGTAGGTTTTATGAAAAATTAACAATGTGCAGCAATTGTATGGAAAACTAGAACCACTACGTGGAACTTACCGGGGCCCAGTGGGATACGGGATTGCATAGATATAGTTTACCTCTCGCACCCCTCCCCCCTCCTCTGTGGAGGCTAATACTTAGTCTGAATTAACTCATGCAGAAGAAAAGCAACAAAATGCATGAGAAAGGAGGATGTTGTTGTAAGTTTGTTCAGTGTTATTACAGCTAACGGTCTGTGTTATAGTAGTGTTTTTAGTAACACTGTGATGTCAATAAGTGTGATCTGTATAAGGTTTTCATTTGTTTTTAAGTTTGAGTGAAAAAGCAAAAATCACTGACAGTTTTGGGTTGAATGGTAATGACAAAGTTTGCAAAGAAGTTTGTTACAGAATTAGCACAATTTCACATTTTCTCAAGTACGTTATCATCAGGTTTATCATTGAGATTTATTAATCACATTTATCTATTTTTTAAAAACACTGTGAATTTGAAATGATAACAGACATAAGACATTTTTGAAATAGATCTTTGTGGTCATGGATTGTTGTCTTGCACTGTAAAAATGTCATCCAGTGTTATATACAGACATAATAAAATGCTTATTTATTGATGACTGAGTATCATTTGTTAATTCATTGCACATTGAAATGGAGGCACTTGATTGTAAGGCAGTGGTTGATACATAGTGGCATTCATCAATATGGCCTATAGTAATTATTGTAGAGGAAGTATTTCTTTCCTGAACTGGGTAAACAGTAGTATATCTGCAACTGCTTGAATGATAAGTGCATCAGCCCATGTACCTTGAATACACATATTATTCAGATATCTTATCCATGAATTTTCGGTATTGCTCTCAATAAATCTCTCAGGATTGTCTCTCATAAATTGAACCCCAGCAGTACGTATATGCATGTGATGGTTGCTTTTGCCATATAATTGATGTGATACAGATCTAAAGAAACAATCACCTGCACCGCCAACATCTATTGATTGTAAACAAAGTGCACCTAATCTTGACTGCATCAAATTCTCAGAGGAAATAGGAGAGTTCAACTGCATTGGTTGAGGTCACACTAGAGAAAGTTTACTATAGTAAACTCAAGTTTACCATAGTAAACGGGCGCCGTAAGTGTGACCGGCATTTTCAGTTTACAATGGTAAACTCTACCCTGGTTAATTTCCATGACTACCATGGAAAGAACAAAGATGACCCATCACCGATAACCATCTGGTTACCAAAAAAAAAAAGGTGGGTATATCTTTAGTCTATCTAAACTTTGTTTGTTTTGTTGACAGTTTGTCATGATTTTTGAGGAAAGTAGTTTCAAAAAGGGTCACATAACAGAATAGCTTTAGAACATCGGTGATTGCTTTTTCCACAGTGCTTGAAGGTTTCTGTTTCTGTACATTTCTTCAAACCATTCCTGGGGTCGAGGTTAAACCCACGCTTGCCTTCGCAATGCCGCTCTTTCTCCAAGAATACGTCTTCGATGAGTAATCAATAAACCTGTCACTAAAACATCTTCACTAACCCATTATTCAAACCAAGGTAGGTAATAAGGGAGCGCATTCTTCTTGCTCATCTGAGCAGCAGAATTAAAAAGCAAAATGCTCACAACAGAAAACAATACTCTCTCACATTGAAGCATCTTTGTACACTTGTGAGGGTCACGCTCAGGAAGTTACAGTTCAGTAATTTCAATTTAGTCAGCTCTCATAGCAGGTCATCATTTGTTTTACTTTTCACTCTCACGTTACCGATCACGCGAGAAAAAAAACGCCTGGAAAGTTTCAAATGCCTTTTTAAGTGGACCTGTCAGGTTTACTACGGTAAAGAAGACGTTGCGAGACTTACCATAGTAAAGCCCTTTTTACCATAGTAAAGTCTCTAGTGTGACCTCAACCAATGTTGAGCTGTGATTTTGCATAGAAGGTCTAATTATTACTTCATCATGATCAGTGTTGTATTGAGTAGGTCCTGGATTCTTCTCAACATCTTTACTTAGTTTGAAATTCACATAATTGGTCATATGACTCACACAATTGCAAGAAAACAATGATAAAGATCGACGTGCTTTTTACATTATTTTTAGTTTCATTATCCTGTGATAATGCCTGCTAAAAAGACAACAAATAAGCTTTCTTGGGTATAGCCATTTTATTTAAGTTAATTATCTTTGGATCGCGTTTGTTATTACATTTATATCGTGCATGATAAAGTTTTCTCACCTTATTAACATAGCGATGGAGCTTTGAAGTCTTCGGTATGTCAATCATTGAAATCTTTTTGAAGACAAATTTTGATAAGTGTTCGCTTTGATTCTCGATAAATTTCACGATGGAAGGTTCACTCAATTTCTCGATAAGTTTCACGATGGAAGGTTCAGTCTCAGAAGTGATCGCTCGTAAATTTGTCTCTCCAAATATTCACTCTTAAATTTTCGCTCATAAACTAGTTGGGTTGGGGGAACGTGTCGTTCCCCAAAAAAGCTATAATCTTTCTCTTGACTGTCCTCCATGCCTCTTCTTTTCAAAATGGCGGATAAGATTTCAATGAGCCAGCGATATATCTCAGTCAGCGATATATCCCTAACAATGTAACGTTGAAAAAAACGGACGGTCTGCATTTTAAGACCGGTGCCAGCCTTCGGCTGGGCCCCGGTAATCACTCAACCATGCACATGCTTTATCGCAGATTCCCTTTGTTGTATTTTTTTTACTTAATCAGGACTTCAAATAATGGCTGGTCAACGGGCAATGTCCAGTCAAAAAAAGGCTTTGAATGACCAGACAGTTGGTCCGCTCTTTTATGCTTCTAATGTAATTCAGACCTTCACTTTTTTTAAATACGATTGGTCAAGATTGGTAATTCGTGAAGGAGGAAAAAAAGTGGGGAGAGAGAGAGAAAAAGGTGACCAGGTCAAGAACTTTTATTACGTAAACCGTCCATAACACAGGGCCTCTGTAGGTCACGAAAAAAAAGTCAAAATTTCGTGGGATTCTCGGAGACAAATTTGCAGCAAAATTGGCCAATTTTGAGAAAAGCCCATTCCGCGGAAATTTTCTGGGCAAATTTTGCTAGAAAGCAATCGGTTTTGCGCTGATTTCACAAACGTTTTTAATGAAACAAGAAGGAATTTTGCCCATTTTTGGTGAGAGGGGAAATGATGAGCATTAGCCTGTGCAATAACAACAGAAACACTGACTACTTTATAAATGTTGCCTTTTTAAACTCTGGTCAAAACCTCCGCTTGCTTTGTGATCTCATTTGGACTTGGTATTCTCTTGCACAGGTTTTTTGTATGTTTGTCAGAGATCATCATTTGCTCTTTTAACATCAATGAGCTCAGAAATGTGCCAATATATGTCAAAGCTTTTTATATCGTGCACTGGCCAGGCCAGTGCCCAGTTTTTCGTATTAATAATCTAATCAAAGTTTCAAGATAAATTTGCAATTTTACGACAAAAAACAGCTGAGATAAGTCTCAAATATGTTGAACTGACATGTATGTATTTGGTAAGATTTCTACCTTTTGTATTTTTGTGAATTTCACTGATTTACCTGAATTTTGTGGCTCAGCAACCGTGACAAATTTCAGAAGCCCTGCGCGGCGGGGTGGTAACAGTGTTTTTTCATTTTCAGGGAGTTGCGAGTTATTGCTTCGTCCTCTATAAAGTCGTCACTGCAAACTCGGGAGTAGGGTGTGTTGTGTTGTAAAGTATTATTATAACAGTCCACGTATATTTTACTGTAAAGTGCAATCGGATAATCCCTGATGAAAGACGTTTGTCCAGTCAAAAACGGGTTGAGTCCAAGCAAAAATAGGTTTGACTGGACAACTTGACTGGCACCAGCTGGGAAATTATTTCAAACCCTGTTAATTGATAGAATGTTGCACAGTTGTTAAGAGCTTTTGTGGAAAATGTGGTCGCATTGTTTTATACTTGAGATAATAATCATGATTTGATAAACCATCACCCAGACTCATCACCCGTGTCATGGATGTGTCATGGGTAGCTCGACAGTTACTAGCCTGCTGGGAGAAGACACTTTTTTTGGTTCTTGAACTGCGTTTGAAAAAAGAACTGAAAAAAGCATCTGCTCCCAGAAGGCTAGACTGTCACCAGTATCAGTATCTTTTCCAGACAGGCCTTACTTATAGATAACATACTGTAAGTGAACTGTGTAATAAACCCCTCTTATCTAATAAATGTCCTCTGTACACTGTTAAAAGTGTATTAGATGCCTAATAAAATAATGTTCCCTGTCTAATAGATGCTGTCTATGAAAATTAATCCAAAATACCAGGAATTAGCTAAAGAAGTATAATCATTCAATTCATTCTGTTTCTTGCTTGATGAACAAGGCTTTGCATATTTCTTCCTGTTCAATGTCAAGATAAGGATAGACTAATGATGGCAACGCAATAACCTTGAGCGAGGATTATGACATAAATGTTGGGATTTAAAAGAGCGATTTGGATCTCTAGATTGCCTTGATGTATGAATTGATGGAGTGAATAGCCTGCTATTTTTAAAGTCTCTTGATATTTTTACCAAAAGCATATTAGTTTTGTTGAGCTTTTTACAGTTATGAGAATAAACTGTTCTCTATTCTTAATGCCTATCTATTAAACACCCCCACATAGAGCCCTTAACTTGAATAGATGTCGCAGGTGTTTATTACGTCTTTTATGGTAGGCATAGACTTGAAACTAATGGCAACTTTACCAGTACAACCTAATGGTTTTACTTGATGTCCAGAGTATTTTTCAAAATAAAAATGGTTAGACTCTCACTATACCTTCCTCGAGTTTTATTTTGAAGGAGGTCTGGAGGAGGCAATTGTGTCTCGGAGAGATGATTATTTGCACGCACAAATGAATCAAGAGAATAGTTAACTCTTTATGTCCCAAGAGTGACCGACATCAATAATTATTTTCTCTTAGCAACACAGGTATTACCACACAATAAAAAAAGGTTACAAGAATCAATGAAATGATCACTTAAGGAAAAATGCTTCGATCTTCTATCAAATTCTCTCAACTAATTTTTTAGGAAACACACTTTTTTGATGTAGAGATCAGTGTGGAGAATTTGTTTGTCAATACTGGGGCTTAAAGGATTAAGAAAATAGGATATCCCCTTATCGAAGCTGGATTAACTATTGATATAATAAACTGCTGTCAACTTAAATAATTCATTTGTTGTGTTTTCCTTTGTTTTCCAATAGTCTTTAGCTACCGGCATGGCTAGTGGTGGTGACTTACCTCAGCTTTGTGCTGATCTACCATCCCTACATGATGTCCAACTAACGGCAAAGCAACCGGAACTACCTGTTGACATTCTTTTGTTGACAGTCGCAAATTCTGAGTTCTTGGCATGTTACCAGCAGCTAAAAGATCCCTTTAGATGCTGGTTTGACGCTCTTGGTCATGTTTACTTTGAGAATGTAAGGAAAGTTCAAGGAGAGAGATTAAAAGTTGCATTGGTGAAGTGTTGTAGTGCTGGTTCTGGTCCTGGTGGCTCCTTGATTACTGTAAAAAATGCTGCCAAGGTGCTAAGACCCAAGGCAGTTATTTCTGTTGGGACATGCTGTGGCCTCAACTCCAAAAAAACCAAGTTAGGCGATGTTGTTGTGTCATCCAAATTAAGGAAATGTGCATCCAAAGAGGTAACAGAACACCAGGCACAGTCTAGTGGAAACTGCCATGTAAGCAGATGCTTTTATGATGTTATTAAGAATTTTGTTGATGGCTGGAAGGCACCTTTGAAAAACTCTGAAGCTCAAGAAGTCAAAGTTCATCTTGGTGAACTTCTCAGTGGCCCAGAGGTTGTCAGGCATGAGTTACAATGTAAAGAGCTTGCTGAACTCTATCCCGAGGCAGTTGCTTTTGAGATGGAAGGAGAAGGTAAGGTTGATGCTTTTTGTGTGTTGGCAAAAAGTTTACCGTACTAATCTTCGTTCTTTCATTCCTGTTAGACTGGTTTGTTTACACAGCCTCAGTCATGCATTTTCCTCTATTTCTTGTTTTAATTTATTGTGTAGTTTTCAAAGGTACACTCATCGTCCGTAAGGCAGCACCTTTTGACCAGAAATTGTAATTTTTTTTAGAGTTCATACCAGCATGGAAAGAAAGTCAAGTCTGATAGCCCGGGGCTAGCCTGAGTGCATTTTGCAATCAGGCTAATGAATTCTGTTTTTAACTAAGCAAGTTAAGTTTTTTTTGAAGGAATTCAAATTATAGAAGCACTGGAAATTGTTTCAATTCCCTATAAATTCATGTGGGCTGAAAAATTGTTTCTCAAGCAGACCTTACAAAGTGAAATTATTGCAATGATTGTATTGTAACAATAATAATGATAATATCATTATTATCATTATTATTACAATGAATTAATTATGCATTTATGAAGGGGACTTGTGCCACTGTTGTGGATCTGGTGGGCATTGTCGTGATCCTGGTATTTGTATCTTGTACATTTTTGGTGACCTGACAAAGGAGGCTTCCTGACCTGACAGGTGACATATAAGCATTGAGTTACATATAATAGAAAAAAAATTAGCACGTGGTCTTGGTGACCACTCAGATGGTCTACATGATCCCCTGCTTGAAAGAATTGACTGAAACACAGCTTTATTATTCATTCATAATAATTCCTAGTTTAAAAACAAGGGAAAACATGCTTACCAGTGTCAATGTTAAGTTCATCTCAATAGTGCATGTTTATCGGGGAGTTTAGAAGATAAAGGACGGTTCAGGTCTGCAAAATTAATGTACTCCAAATGGGAGATGTCATCCGTCAACTTGTCTTCTTGCTATGTTTTTAGACAATAGTTTGCTGTGAAATGAGTAAAATGTTCTGCTGGTATTTCCACCATTTTGTTCTCACTACCAAAACAACTCAACCTTGCCCCCAGGTCTTCTCGGATCAATAATCTGCAATTTTGGCCACACTTTTGACATCATCGACTTTGTGCAATATGACAAAATTCTTCCAAATTTGATCAACAGTAGCTGGTTATGATGAATTATGCATGTGATAGCCAATCAGAAATCGGAGAAATATTTTGAATGAATAATAATAATAATATTATTAATACAGTTTCTCATTCAAGTACTGTCACATTTTGTTTCTTTTTTATGTACAGGCATTTTTGCAGCAGCATTTGACCTTCAAATTGAATGGTTGATTGTAAAAGGGATTTCTCATTTTGGAGATAGTGCCCAGTTGAATGAGGAGAGTTGGCAAGTTTTTGCTAGTGTAATGGCAGCTTCTCTTGTTGCACATATTTTGAGTGATCCATGTGTAATTCATTCCTGGCCTCATTTTGAAGGTACAGTAATTACATGTATGACTTGAGGAAAGGAGGAGTTGAGGGAGAATAGTAATTCATGCACATAATTATTTGGAAGTATTAAGGGCCAGAGATTCATACAATACTCACTACAGGTACATTAGCCTGGGACCAGGCTCCGCAGTGGGGGAAAAAGGAAAAAACAAATAGGAAAAATATCGGCGAGCAAAGTGAGCTGAGCAGTATCCTGGGGAGGGGAAAAGGGCGGCGGAGCCTGGAGACATGCCTTTGACGCCACTGTTCCATGATACCATATTCTGGTATCATGCTCTGATTGGTCAAATGTCTTCATCATGATAGCTTCGCAGTGCTGTTGACAGTATCGCACTCTTTCAATATCACGCTCCTACAATTCAGGAAAAAAGATTTAACATGGATTTCAAGCAAGCAACACAAATTTCTTTGTGAGACTTTTGGCTTATCCCTTGGCTTCAAGAACGGCAAAAAATATTCCTGTGATCTGTTGCAAAAAGAAAAAGAAGCATATAGAATGTGCAGCTTTTCTTATACTCTCCTCTGATAAACCACAGTCACATTTACAAAGTGATTGACTTATAAACCGACGTTCAAAAGGTAGAGTATTGTGATCATGCTCTTAACAAAAGCATGATAAAACCCAAAAATCAGTGAATATATGCAAAGAATGCATTTTGCGTACAGCTTTTTACAGAAGCAACATAATAAGCTCCCACTGACATCCGTGATGAGAACTTGATGTGTTGACATTTCAATGACAAGTTGATTGCTGGAGGGTGGATCGGCAGCATCAAAGGCATGTCTCCAGGCTCCCTCACCCTTTGCCCTTCCAAAACTTCAGGTCGGAAAAACGTTCTACGCAAGCTTCTGCACATCCCCTATCGCAGGCTCAAGGCAGGAATTTTCTCTGTGTTGACTGTTGGAGTTCGGAGTGAAATGCACGAGGTGCAAACGTTTGCTCCATGTAAAGCATTTTTATTTGACATGACATGTTTGCTGTTTTTTTCGTCGCTTGAAAATTACTTTGGATTCAGAACAACCAATGTTAAAGGAAAAACGGATCATTCTGTCAGTCTGAGGTGGAATAAAAGGTTTTGAACATTTCTAAAGAGGCGAGTATTTTTTCTGATTGTGCATCCGATTAATTTATGAGTTGATTTCGATGGGTTGAGTTGAAACCCGCTTGTACTCTGTTATTAGTAGTTACGGTTACTTTTTTTGCATGCCCAGATTTATTACCTTTGCAGAACCAGCTTTAGCTTTGTCTTCAGTCAAAGAACATATTGCTGTTATAAGTGAACAAACTTGTGCGCTTATGAAACTTTCTCGGAAATAGAAGGCCAGCAAGCTTACTCAAGATCATTTGTCTGTTGCTCAAGTAATAATAGTCAGAGTTTTTTCATTTTTCATCACATAGTTTTGTTTTCCAGTGCACTTTGAAAGTTTCTGTTTTTTATAAGAATAACTTTCTGTACGCAAATTGTCCTTTTCACTCGCTGTGAAGTAGAGAACGACAACTGCTGGCAGTGACTTCAAAACAATTGACTCTTTTCCTGTAAACAATTGCTCCAGCTGGATTTGACTGAGGCGAGCAAAACAAACCCTTATGTGCAATTTTCTGTACTTTCTAATGATCGGCTGAGTTTAATTTGCTTAAACGAAGACCCTAGCATGGACCAGTCAAGCTTATTGAAAATAGCTAAATGGTGAATCATGGCTTGGCTGCCAAGTTGCAACTGGTCTTTTGCTTTTACAATCTTTAGGTAGGTTGTTTTTGTACAGAAAATTCATTTCTTCATTGTCAGCAAGAAGTTTTTGAAATAATGTAACTTTGACTTTGTTTGAACGAAATCCTACTCGGCGTGTAGGTTTCTGACAGATGTTATGCGTGTTCAACTTGACAACACAAAGCAAAATTTATATAATTATCTGCGCGAAACGAGCAAGTTTAAAGAACTATAGTCGCTTTGAAACTGATTTTTGGGAAGATTTTACTAGATTGAGATTGACCTTTTTTCTGCCCACATATCAACGCAATAACTTCTATATTTAGGATTTTGTTTATATTTTAGTGATCTGCGAAACTACGAGTGTCAGATCGAGCGAGGGTTTTAAAATATCAGCTCGAGTGCGACAAAGTTCAGTGACTTCAAACACATTGTGGGCATGCGTTAATTTTTCTGGGCAAATCACTGTCCAAAGATGTATTGTTTTTGTGTCCACAGTGGAGCTCCAGACCTTATATATCCAGGAACTTCCTTATATGAACACATTTTGTGAATGCATCTTGAAAAAAATTGGACCTACGCATGCACATTTCCAGTACAACGCAAGGAAATTAATGTCATTAAAGTCCATTTTACTATGAAGTATTCTTCGAGAAAATTAAGTAACGACAAGGTTATAACCACAGCTTGCAACTTTTGAAAACAAATTGTCTGTTCTTTGCAGGTTATGAGTGGAAACATTTTATTTTTAGGCAACAAAATATTTGAAATCCCGCCATTTTTTTAAACCCGGCCAGGGGATCTGGGCAAAAAAGTTCACTCATGCTCATTACTTTTTTCCACCCTGAATCCCAAAACTACCTCTCAGCTCGCTTCGCCTGCCAATTTTTTTTTCTCCAATGCCAATTTTTTTCTCCCTGGTCCCAGGCTACATGTACGGGAATTCTGTCTGCAAAACAACATCATTGCAGGTGCATGATGCCTAGTGCTACAATGCATATTCTACCACTGCATAATGATGTGAAATGTGCTTATTCAACAAAATTTATAGAAGAGGCAAACACATGGTTACTAATTTTTCTTTTTCTTTTTGAGCTCAGATTTAGTCCGAAAGAATTCAACTCCAACAAAATAATATTTGTCTACGATGATAAGTAAAAAACATTAGCAAGGCCAATGTGATAGAGTTTTAAAGAACTTAAATTGTTCTTTTCAAAAGTGCCTTTTTCACTGCCAAAGCTTCCTAAAGTGAATTGTACAGCTGTGTGTACTGATAATTATTTCTAACTGGACTGTATTTTATGTTCTTCCTCATACAGAACCTTCAAGTGAATTATTGGCTGAGTTTTTTTCCATTCCAGAGGAAAGCGGTGAACAGCTTGTAGCTATCATTAGAGATTTAGAATGGCAAGATACTGAAAAGAGAATGGAAGGACTAAGCAACCTGAAAGACCGTGACATGCCAGCTGTAGATGATATTAACCCGAGTGAGAAGAATTTCAAGGCATTAGTAGAGAGGGTTTGGAATTCTTCCAAACAGTGGAGTGACTACCAAAGTGAATTCATAGTTTTTACTTGCCAAGGCAATGGAGTTTTCAACCTAATGAACTGTCTTGCCATCCTGAGTTTCTTTGCTTTCGTGAAAGTCGCCACAAAGTCCTTAGAAGTAATCCAAACTTTGGCTGGTCAGTATAAACATCATCCTGGTTTTGGAGTTGTGATCAATAACCTTGGGGTGATGTTTTGTGAGAAAGCACTCTTTGAGAAGAGCGCTGAGTGCTTCGTCGTGGCCAAAAGTTGTTTTGATCTCCAAGGAGACCATTTGAGAGTTGCAGCAGTGTCTTTAAACCAAGCAGTTCTGTACAAAACTATTGGGGACTACAAAAAGGCACAAAGGCTCTGTTCTGAAATAGCTGCTGTGTATTGCCACAAATTTGAGATAAAGGAAAAGAATGTTCATTTGCTAGTCAAGGTGTTAATAAGAACTGCTGATATGTTAAAAGAGCTAGAAGACTATGTGACGTTCTACAAATTCCTGAGGATTTGTGCTCACTTTGACTTTGCCGGTGTCAGTGTGCCTATTTCATTAGTTTTAGCAGGGCAATTGATTAAACTCCAACTTAAGGAGGAAACAAGTAGAAATGCTGTAGCTAAAGAGGTCACAGATTTTTCTTACTATTTGCTGATGTTGCTTGATAATCCTAATGCAGAGTTGATGAACACTGATATAATACGAGTTGTGATCAATGTAGCAAAGATTCATCGCAAGAATGGTTACCCTGATGAAGCTTGCAATTTGTTAAAAAAGCTGCAGAATGCTTTCCTGTTTGTTCATGCAGGAAAGACTTCACTCTATGGTTCACTGTTATATCAGATTGGTTGCTTCTTTATTACCTGTGAAAAGTTTTCTGAAGCGTCAATTGCACTGAGACAGGCAGTGAACATTCTAATGTCCTATTTTGGCCAAGAACACTATGCAGTTGCATGTTGTATGAGTACGCTGGGTTCCTGCTTTTTGCTTATGGGGAACTACAAAGAAGCTTTGAAGCATCTAAACGAAGCCCTGGTAAAGTTTACAAATTTAAATCCTAATCATCCTGAAGTGGGAAAGATTCTTCAGGCACTCTCATTTTTGAAAATTGAGGAGAAATACTTCCAGCGTGCCTGGGGTACCATGAAAGAAGCTTTGGATATCTTTGTTTCTACTTGTGGTGAGCTGTCTCCCATGACAGCCACCGGATATTTCCAGTCTGCCATGTTCTTGCTAAAGGAGAATTCGTTGTGGAATTTCGCAAGAGAAAAACTGGTAACAGCAATTGACATCTTCTTACGTCTTGGACTGAAACCCCATCATTCTTTTGTCATTGCATGCCGCAGTTTGCTTGGTGTCTTGCAGCTCTCCTTAAGGGACAGGGAAGGGGCAGAAAAGTCTTTTGAGGGTGTTGAACAGCAGTTAGACATTAATAGTGAATCCTGGACCAAAACCAGAATTATCTACTCTCCGTTAGTCCATTTACTAGTTCCATCGCTAGCAGTTGATATAGACAGATCTTTTGATCTCTGCGCGAAAGTTGTAGCTCTTGTTAATCTGGTGCACCTCAAAACTGGTGATGACAGATACAGGCATCTTGCTTTGCTCATTAATTACTTGGAGGGACACAAAACAGAGGAACTTCAAATAAAAGATTTTGCTGGTCAAGATGTTTTCCACATTTTGCACAGATCGCCTGTCTTTGCCAAGCCAGTAGTTTGCATTTTATCCTCACATCCAAAGCCAGCCTCTTCAGAGTCTGGTGAGCAAATGGGCAATCATCCAGTGAGTGACACAAAAGAACCAGATGAACAAAGTGAAGGTTCTCAAATGTTCTTATCATCTGTAAACAACAAGTATTTTGTCTTGTGTTTGAGGGTTCCTCACAACATTCAAGAAGACATTAGTTTCCTGGCCTCTGCACTCCAAAAGAGTGTTTTGACACTTTTTTTACAACAATCATTCCGCAAAGATTTTGTAGAGAGAGATGATTTGTATAGGGAGATGACAATCCCTACACTCAACATTCATTTCCTTTGGAGGCTGATAGACTGTCTTCCTCTTCTTGTTGAACTGGAATTGTCAGATTTGCAAGAGTGTGACAACTTCGACTACTTGAATTCTTGGGAGTCCTCCTTAAAATCAACTAAGCAGTCAATACAGGTCTCCTACCTTTCTTCTGAATGTTCTAATCAGCGCGAGGCCATGTTTGTCTTTGACCGTCTGACCCAAAGATTACATGAAAAGCTGACACTAAGCACAGATCTTGGTGTTGTTGTATCTCATGTTTCCCCAGCACAAAATGTAGCATCTCTTGTCATTGAAAAGCTGGGAAAATCCTTTATTTCTATTGCTGTTGAAAAGAAGTTTTTAATAGTAAAATGTTGCAGCTTGAAGGATTCAGATTTAGAGCGTGTCTGTTCATTGGTACAAGAGGCTCTAGAAAGCACAATGGAATCTTCAGCTTTCAGCATAAACTTGGAACAGTCTTCATGGTTTCTTGGCCAGGGGAGCTGTTGTGAATTGTCGAGGGAAAACTGCAGTTCGGATATGAGCAGTGGCTTGTTTTGCTCTGATTCGACGTTGGAAAGAAGTGACTCTCCATGTTCAGACATCAGAGATCCACAATCAGTTTTAAAGATGCATACTGTTGATGTGTTGCAAGGCATGGTAAGTTTTTTTCTATTTACGATGTGCAGTTATGATTAAAGAGAAGTAAGTTGCTTTTAGCAATAACCAAAATAAATACATTATCAGCCCTGGTTGTTCGATTGTTGGATAGTGCTATCCAAGAGATAAATCACTACCTAGTGGGAAACCAATATTGTGTTATCCAGTGGATAACATTAATTTTTGTCCCTCTGGGTAGGGATGCTCTTTTGAACAACTGGGGCCAGGTGTGGACTGTATACTTCCTTCCTTATCCCATATAGTGGCATATTTCTCTGGGGCTTTGGCCCACAGCCTTCTTTATTAGAGCAAAAAAATAGGAAGCAGTTAGTGTACAGGTTGGGGACTTTGTCAAGTGAATCATTTGGTGGTTGGATGGTTGTGTGATGCAGTTGAGTCATATGCGCTTTTCTTGATTTGACTATGAGATTGCATGATGCACGTTGTAGTCAAAGACCCACATTTCACCCTGGCTCGCCATCAAGTCTCCAGTAGCTCAGTGGTTAGAACATCTGACTAGATCAGGGAGAGTCATGGGTTCGAACCCCATCTGGGGCTCAGCTTTTTTCGAGTTTTCCATGTGATGTAAAAACATATCATGTTGTTGTAGTTCTACAAAAAAGACTCACTAGTTGGTTAAATTAACATGTCCAGAAACCAATACAAATGACTTGATTTTTTACCTTTTATCCGATAGGATGTGGAGATCAAGCCTACTGTAAGCCATACCAGCAGCAACTTACCTACAGACGTGGATATTAATTTGTGTCTTCTGGAGTACCTTTTGAGACAAGCCAAATGTGAAGCCACTACAGAGAAAACATTGCAGAACTCCTACATCACATCATCTTCCTCTGACAGTTGTGCTAGTGATGTTCAAGTAAATGAGAACTCACCAGTCTCATCTGAACAGACCTCAGTTTCTGAAAACAACTACAGTTTTCCTGAATCTGATGATTCCTTCACACCAACGAAGTCATTACCTGATAGTTTGTCATCTGTGAGAAGTATAAAAGAATCAAATGCCCCCCTCACTCTTGACCAAAGTGATTCAGAAGTCTCTAGTTACAGGCACTTGTCAAATGAGGAAGGCAGCTGTGATCCAGACACAAGGGAAGCAAAGCAGTTGGAAGATGTACATCAATTGCAATCATCAGTTGCTGAATTTAATTCTGTGAGCAGTGAAGAAAACTCTATTTTCCCTGTTGACCAGAAAACAGGTGTGCAAGATGTTCACACCAACACAGAGTCAAATGTGGCAAATTCCAACATGTTGCTGGACAATCAAGCTGGACACTTGGATTTATACCAACATCAGAAACAAGGTCCTTCTGTTGAACGTCATGAGAGCATTTCAAGACCATCATCTGCTGCAAGTTCAGAGGGAAGTGGTTTAGAAACTGCGTCTGGTGATTTTGAGAATGTGTTAGCAGCTTCGCGGAAGAAGTGCTTTGAACTGCAACTAGAGATCAAGCAATTAGAGGAACAGCTGAAGCAGAGTGAAGAAGAGAAACAGAAACTCCAAGTTGACCTGGGGAAACACTTGTTCCTTGAAGAAAAAGGAAAGCGTCATGGAAGGCTCCTCGGAGGGGCAGCTTTGCTGCATGAGTCAGGTTAGTTGGAGATGTCAAAAACTAATAAATAGCAGCTTAACAGTTTAAGAACATGGAACTGTGTGAGGAATTGCAGAATTGGAGGAAACTAACGTGATTGGATAAGGCTGAGTATGTAAAGAGGAATTTTGTAGATTAATTAAGGTGTTTTTGATTTGGTTGATAACGCCCTCTGAAAACTGCATAATATTGTATGAATAATGTGCAAAATTGGAGAATTATTCTTCATAATATTATTATAAGACAGCAGATTCAATGACTACTTAATTTTTCATTCAAATTAATAATATCTAAACTCATAGCAGTCCTCTTTAACTTTCCATTCCGTAGAATTTCTTCCAAGTGTTTGCCGCTAAGTGGTATTTTCAGGGAATTAATAGATGTTATTTGACACTTGGAAAATATATGTTTAAAATCTGTAGAAAGTTGTTAGCCTGTAACCACTCTGATTTATTTTACTTTTTAATGCTGCCAACATACTATGTGTATTTTTTAACGGCCTGCATCTTTCTCAACTGCATTCCAATGAGCTCAAGTTCTTCAAATGCATCATTAGATGTTATAGTCCAATAACAGTACTGCTTAACTGACAGAGAACCAACAATTTATCACGTGAAAGATTGTTGCAGTCGTGTGTGCAACTTAGTTGCAGAAAGAAAGCTTGAAAAAAGTCCAGCCAGTTTGCTAGATAGCTCAGTGGTAATTAAGAGCTTGAACTTTTTTCAAGCTTTCTTTTTGGTGACCTATTAAGATGCATATTTCCATGTCACTGTGATTGTCTTTCTCAGGTTAAATCTTTCTCATGCAGTTCGAATGTATGAAGATTTCATAATCATTTTAACTTTGATATGGAAAACCAATAACACCCTGACTTACGGTGTAATAAAACAATTAGCTAGGTCAATAACCAGAGAGCTTAATACTGTCAATTAATGATACACAACTCACTTTGACTCTGAAGATGACTGCTGCACAGGTTGTTGAAACGTCAGTCACTGTCAAGTACAGTCCTATTTAGGAATTCCCCGGTCAGTCATGTTTCATCTTCTGACTGAGGGGGAGGAGTATGACATGACTCCTGTACTCAAACCATTCATTGAATCGCAAACAATGAAAAAAATCAAATAATTTTCATTCCTATGGGCAGTGATCTATTTGGCAGGGGTCATTGTTTTATATTCTTGCCTTATTTTTTTTTGTAGGTTTTTCCCTGCATTCAAGACTTCCAGAGATCTGGCTTCAAAGGGATCCTGGGCTCAAACCATTCATTGTATTAAAAAAAAGGATAAAAATAATGTCATTCCCATGGGCAGTGATCAATTTGGCAAGGGTCATTGTTTTATGTTCTTTCTCTTGATTTTTTCAGGGTATTCGCTTCACTCAAGACTTCTAGAGATCTCCGATTCATTATCATTGGAAGAGGTGAAAAAGATCAAGTTTCTGGTCAAAAGCAAAGTCAGTGGTTTCAGACTAGCACGGATAACAGAGGCCTTTGAACTGTTTGAAGAACTGGAAACAAATGGAGTATTTCCCTGCCATTATATTGCAAGCCTGCTTGCGGGGATTCAGCGATATGATCTTGCGGAGAAGCTTGGAATACAGTTACCTTCAACAGCTGCAAAACATGGTAATAATGAGAATCCCTAATCATTTCTTGTTTTTATTGTAGCAACACACTCTAATTGTTAAATGAATGTTAAAGCAGTTTGCATGTATAGACCCTTCAATGTTTTCTTCAATAGGCCATTTTATAGTTGTGGGCTTAGTATCCTAGCCTTTGAGTGGACGTGAGGCCGAGGTTGACCTTGTTTTGATACAAACCTCTTTCCTTTTCTTATGGAAATTATGCTTAAAAATACATAGTTAGCATAAGAAAAACATTAGTTACATAATAAAGCACGAAGGGTTGTATATAAATAACAAGGTCAATTCCAGCCTTGTTTTCACCTGTAACTGTAAAATGGGCTATTCTTGACAAGGATCAGTTGGCAAAAATGTACCTTAAAATCAGCAAAGTCGTCAAGTTAGAGAGTGATATAAGTTGAAAAGAAACATCTATGAATTGCAAAATCATAGGGTTTCATAGACGTTTGATAGGGGGTCGTGATAGTGGCAACTTTTTGGTGACTTGGCAAAGCGGTATCATCTCTCATTTCTGAAATATCACTCTTTGACTTGGCAACTACTTATTTAGTTTTTTGTGGCATTTATGCGAACAGGTCCTTGTCAAAAGTTAGAAAAAAGTGGAAAGGTCTATTTTAAAATAAGAACACGGGGCTGATCAGGAATTTTGTTTGCAGTGTAGTTGTGCTGTTTTAGTGGGGATTAATAAGCAGATCTGAATGATTCCAAACCAAATGCATGATGGACGGTAATGTAGTGGATTCACTGGATGGAGTAGCCGGTCTATTTAATTCTCAAGGACTGTGTTCATAAAGGATGTCTGCTTTTTTTGACTAGTGTCCTCGCTTGCTTATTTTCCTTCAGGGTCGGACATTCTTTCTGGGCAAAGCTTGTCAGCAAGTGGAAATAGATTACCGGGTCATGTTGAGAATTTACCCAAACTGACATCTGTTAAAGATTACAGTTTGGAGGTACAACTGAACAGACATGGAAGGAAGCATGTTGAAGGAAATGGAGTGTTTACACGTGTGAGTATCAGAGGAGACTCGATGCAATTGCAAGGTGTTGAAGAAAATGATAAATCATTTACAACAGCGGAAGCAGAAGTTGAGCAGGATAACAATTCATCACTTGGATTCAGTGAAAATTCAAGGGAAACCAACACGTACACCGCTGTCTCAAGTGAGAGTGAAAAAAGCAGTAATTCATCCATGAAAAGTGCTCTCAGCGCCGAAGAATTTCCCCAATTCCCCACCCTTACTTCAGACGGTTATTTGTCAAGTTCTAATGATAGTTCGTTATTATCATCCAGTTTTGAACAAACCGCAGTGGTGGCTGATTCTAGTTGCACCTTGCAGTCCTCTGCAGTTGATACAACTGATGGCTCACCTATTTTGACGACACTGTCTAGTAAGGCTTATAGAAATCAAGAAATCTCAGTTGACATTGACCCTAACGTAGCATATACTAAAGAGCAGACTGAACGATCTTTGAAATTCCATTATGCTGACGTGGAGTGTGATGGCTCTCCAATAGTAGCATCATGCCAGTCTTATTCAGCTTATTCTTATTCAGAAAACAATGAATGCTATGTAGCTAATGGGGAAGATGAGCTTTTTGATAAAGCAACTGAGAAGTCTGAATGGAAAGAAATTGAGGAAGAAAAAGACTTTGTCGATTCTTGTGACGGAACAATAAGAACAGTACACTCTGGCAGAAGTGCAGATACAGGAACAGATTCTTCAGACAGTTTTGTTGGTCAGATTGTTGGAACTCAAAGCGTTGCAAGTGGAGGAAACCTGCCATTAACACAGCAAGGAACCTCTTCAACAGCAGGGAGGGTACTTAGGACACAATCATCTGCTGAAACAGATTGGGAGCGTCTCGGTGCTAGACCAAAGGAGGTTCAACGTTCAGATGTTCAACCAAAGCCAACAGAACCTGTTGTTTATATAACTGATGGCTTAGCTGGTGATTTCTTAGCGAGACACACCCAAGACAAATCTCTTCATGACAGTATCTATCAAAATGACGGTGCTTCTCTGTTCAATGACTTTCCATCTCAGGGGACTTCCTTTATTGACGGTGGTGACATATCTCAATCTAGCAGAGCCCAGGCGTACTTTGGGGATTGCCAGGTTGCGTCGAGGGCAGAGCCATTTATTGGAACTGGCAATTCACTTGTGAGTGGATCTAATAGACATTTGGGTGGCCCTTCTAATGCGGAACTTTTCAGTGACAACTCGCCCAGCCGTTTAGGAAATGATTTGTTCTCATTGCATAGTAACTATTTATCAAGAAATACTTCAACTGCTGCAAACAGCTATTCTCTTCAAAGTGATTTTGTACATAGTAGTCATAGATTTGCAGGAGTTGACCATTTTGACGGACAGACTTATTTGCCGTCAGCACCGCAAACGCCATATCCTCCCATGGCAAGTGACCCTGTTCTAAATAGTTATCCAGGAATGACTGGTTCAAGTCTTGCTGACCCTTCAAGGACAGGTGCAGCACTAACTCTACCTGGGGATCCTGTACATAATGCGCCAAGATTTAATAGCTTTTTAAGTGAGCAGCTTACGGACCCTACTCCTGATGCAAATAGGTTTACTGGTGATGACAACGCTTCAGCTTTTATTTCTAATCAGGACACAGATGAGCCAGCACAGAAAACAAATTTAGCACTTGGAAATTCAAGGACAACAACTGTAAACGTGGAAGATGATGCAAATTCTGCAGCCCGGTATCAGCTTGATAATTCAACAACATTCAATAGTGTTTTGGCAACAAGATCTACACGTGATACATCTGTTTTAGAACCACGTCCTGGTGACGCTGACAACAATAGAGTTTCTGTGTTAAACAACACAGACTTTGGTACTGATTCAATAGAGGCCTCGGACAACTCGTTACTTGCTCTCGAACGGCGTGTTGCAGAAGCTTGTGCCCTTGTTGAACGCGTTCTCCGGGAGAGAGAGGAACGAGAACAGTTTGGAAGGGAAATAGAAAGGAAAGAACAGTTAATAAGAGAACAAAGAGCTCGAGAAAGGAGAGAGAGAGAGGAGAGAGAGTTGCGGGAAGCTGAAAACTGGCCACAAGAACAAGAAGCAATCAATGCACGTTCGCAGTGGTTATGTGAACATTATCAGCGGCACTGCAGAGTGCGATTCCCTTGTTGCACTCAATTCTATCCATGCCATCGCTGCCACAACATCTCCAAAGCTTGTGACAATGAAGAGGCTAAAGCTTGTCATGCCACTCATCTAAAGTGCTCTCACTGTCAGCATGAACAGGAGGTAAGCTTTATTTTCATGTTTCCTAAAACTAAAATTTTACATTATACCTGTACCCAGTACACAGTCTTTTCATTAATTTTTTTGTAAAACTTTCAATATGAGTTTGGGTGATTGCTGTGAAAGTGTTGATTCCTTCAGGGCTGTCAATAAGGGCTGGTAGCTCGCCAAAACCGCTAGCTAGTTAGCCATCCTTAGCCGGCTACTTTCATCTCCTTCTACCATAACTGCGATCAAAAAATAAGCACCATCAAATAAGATTGTAAAGAATCCATTTCCCAGTTTTGAATGACATTGAATGCATATTTAAATGCAATGTCATGGAATGTGTGGGACATTTTGATGGCATTGTTCCCAGTCTTGCCTGTACTTTGACAAAACAACATGGTGTCTATGGTGGAAAATACCTCTTGAAAACCCCTGGAGATGACATTTTCAAAACTCTTAATTTCCGAATGTCCCTAGATGCCTCTGCTCTCAAAAACTTGTGCCTTTGGTGCGAGTTCCGCCTTCTATTAATTATCAGCCTGCTACTCAAAAACGTTTTTGACAGCCCTGTTGCTTTATCTTAAAGTATAATGGAAATTTATGATTTAACTAGCTAAAAACAAAGGATAATAAATTTACTTTTAATAGCTTAAAAAAATAGAAATGAATCTCAACATGATTATAAAATCATATATACATGATTACTGCTAAACTCACAAAGCTGTGAACACCAGAGATGTTTATGGAACATTGTTTTGTTGTGAGGAAAAAGCTAATCAGGGGCCTGTTTCTTGAATGTCCCGGTAACTTTTTGGGCCCAGAAAGCTGTTTTGTGTTTGTGGTGTTTGCATTCAAGATCAAAGTTTCAATAATTTTGAAAATAATACAATGAAACTATTAGTTGACAAAGCAAAATTCACTGGTCTTGTGGGCTAGGAACTGTGCTACTATTCAACAGGTTTTGCCTTTGGGCCTGAAAAGTTTCTGGGTCGATCTTTCGAGAAACAGGCTCCGGGAGTGAGAAACCTAATCCACAAACTACAACGATATATTATTTAGTTTGTGGTTAAATTGAGCTTTGCTTTTATGTCCTGAACTTTTTTGTGATTGGTCACAACAGTAACATTCCTGACGTATTTTCAGTGTTCAGGTTTTTCTGAGATTGGCAGTAATTTTGTTTGGTTTTACTTTTGTGGACATTGAAGAGTGAATTTCTATCGTTATGATTCTCGTAAGTCACTTTAATATTAAGGTAGTATTGGGTGGCTTTCATGTGATGCTTGGTCACGCATGAGTGTGGTGTGAAATGATATTCATTTTTTATTTTGTGTTCCTTAATAAGGTCAGGGGTCAATTTAATAAGACTTTTACAAGTGTAATTAACAAGCTTAGCTATTGTTTTCAGACTCTAAAACAATGGTTACACTTGTACATTACACTTGCAAAAGTTTTATTAAATTGACCAATGGACTTCTATGACTCTTGATAATATTATTCAGTTCGATAAACACTATATTAACCATTTGTGATTATTATTTTTACAGATTGGTGAAGACAGTGCCAAGTGTCGCAAGTGTGGAGGCAAAATGTCTGCTTATTTCTGTGCCATTTGCAAGCATTTCACCAGTGTGGACAAAAATCCATATCACTGTGAAAAATGTGGAATTTGCAGGTAGGTGACTCTGAAGTTTTCTTCTTTGTTGTGGCAAAATTATGGTAACAATAAATACAGATTCACTTTCATAAGGGGTATAAACATTGCTGTAAAACTTTTTAGACAATGCTTAGCCTGTTTGTCATGTTCTGATAGTGGACAGGGTGCAAAGGAAAGAACAGAGCAGGGGAAAATGGCATTTTTTTTGTTCTGATGTCGATTCTAGACTACTCAATCCCATGAAAATGTGTTGGAAAACCCCTGAAAAGGCAGTGACTGTCTAGCATGTATTTCATGGTTCATGAAACTTCTAATGGCCCATGAAATCCCCATAAAAGCATGGTCAATTTAAAAACTCATGAAAATGCCAAACTCACACTAGCACAAAATTAGATGATAAATGCCATAGAGAGAAGTTACACCCAGTGCTTGTTTCTTAATAGCTCTTGCAAGATCTGTTGAAAGTTAGGTCAATTTTAGATAATCATGTTGACACATATAGGCACAAAACAGATGGGTATCAAGTCCATTTTGCATCATTCCCCTCTGTCTGATCCCATGGAACTGGCTAGCCAGAAATGTATTAGCAAAAAATGGTGATTTTCAGACCAAGTTCCTTTTTTTTCACCTAGAATTGGCTCTCTTATTTGAACAACTTAAAGTTGTCCATAGCTTATTTGCAGGAGTTGTGTAAATATGATGCAAAAAGTAACTTCTTGATGGATATACTGGATACAGTTGTAAATTGTATTAATTTTTATTGCTTTTTAAACTTTAGGATTCATCAGGACAAATCATTCCACTGTGAAGTGTGTAATGTGTGTTTAGACAAACGCCTTGAAGGAAATCATAAATGTCGACCAGATTCAGGTCACGATGAGTGCTGTATTTGCCTGGAGGTGAGGTTTAATTATTATTTTTTAGGATAAGGCTACTGAAGCCTTGGTATGAATGAGGTCTCCCTTTTACAGTGTGAGTAGAAAGAGGTCTTTGAATAGGGGCCTTAGATGTTCACAAAATATTGCCATTCTAATACTATGATATTCAAAAAATTTGCATTGCTGATTGTTGTTGACATTACTTGCAGGATGCATTCAGTGGTTGTCAGATATTACCATGTTCACACAAGGTCCACAGAGAATGTGCCATCGCTATGATACAAAATGGCATGTAAGTCATTAGTTTACCAATTCATTGAGATCACAAAAGTTCCATGTCTTAGGAAATTAAGTCTATTCTCATCTAGTACTCCTGCAAAGGAAACTGAGAAGAGAATGAAAGCAAAGTAAATAGCCCTCATTCATGTTTATGTCACACCCGCAAATTTCAAAACAGGAATAGAGTGATATTTCGAAATTGTTATATGTAATTTCACGAATCATTAGGCGAGTGAAATTTGAAACAGTTTTGAAATATCACTCGTGGTATTTATGCCAAATATCACGTTCAGTTTATACCACTACCTGCCCAAGGTTTGTAATTTTCACATGTAGGTATTTCAAATGAAGCTGAATTACCACTGTTCTTAGCCAATCAAATTGCAGAAATTTCTCATGCAGTAGTAAAATAGAATTAATTGTTGTCTATGGTGCTTCCCCCCCCCCCCCCCCCCGCCTCCTTTCACCTATGTATTTTTTATTGTTGGCAATAGTTCACAGAGTTGTTTTTGCTTGTTAGTACATGCAACATAATAATTTCTTTCTCTCTTTACTTTTTTCAGTCGCACCTGCCCAATATGTCGACATCCTTTGTACAGCCAGTCTAGGGAGTAGTTCTTCTGATACAGGATCACCCAGTTAATTTTCTGATTTACCAAGGTTAACTCTGACCATCATATCTACCTCTCCGAATAACCGCACAATTAACCGTCCGGCTAAATGAGGTTTTTATATTTAAATTTCCACTAAAAGAATGTGATGTTAGATGTTATGCTCATGTGAATCTGATAAGCAAATTTCTTGCTGCTCCACTTACTGTAGTTAACTATGAAATTGGAGTTTACGTTTGTTATGATGTTGAGATTTCTGCTCCCTGCAATGTAAGGTTAAATTTTTGTTTAATGGAAAAATCAAATGATCAAGTAAAAAGGGGGAATATGTTGTTGTTATTAGTTTATTGTGCTTTTGCAGCCACGTTTTAAAGACGCCTTGTATGTCAATGCAAAATTCAAAGAAATTAACATATTTTCTAGAACAAAGAAGGGGATATTGATTGGCTTTTTTCATATTTAAAGTTTGTATAATATAATAGATCAGTTATCAAGTTTGTTACTGTTATGCCAATTAATCTTTCAAATAAAATTTGAATAACGTTTGTAGTGTTGTTTGTGCATTGTTCTTCACAATGTGAATATTCTTCATATTATGGTTGCACGTTAGTATGGGTAGATAGTATTGTCGCACCAGTTTGCCTCCAACCGGCTGGTGGGATTGTTAATCTTGTTTATTTTTATTTTTTATTTTATTGTTTGTATTGTGATTGTGATTTTTTTTATTGTGATAGTGATTGTGATTATTATTATTATTATTATTATTATTATTATTATTATTACTACTTATTTCGATCTATCACAGACTTGCTTTAAAGGACGTCGCCTGCCGACTAATACTTAAAACAGATTTCTGCATTTTTCTCAAAATATCTCTCCATCTCTCTTCCCCAACTAATGCCTTCACATTGTCTCTGAGTCCTCTTGAGTATCCCCCATGGAGGTAAATAAACATTGGCCTGCTTTATTTCAAAACCAGGGTAGTGTCGCTTGAGTTCCAAATGTTCCTTCTCTTCTTCCTTCACCTGGCGATTTTCGACCCACGAGGAACTCATCTCCAAAAGCGTTATCCTATTACTTTCTGTGGCTCTTTCTCTATCTACGATTCTTGCGTCCACTCTGTTCGCTGTGACTTTAGCGTGTTCAGACCGTATACACTGCAACGTCTCAAAATGCCCCCACATGATTGTTTTCGTACCTAACAGGGGCTGGGTGGGGGAGTGGCAGACTAAAGAAGGTCACGTGGTTTAATATCGAACCAAGATGGCCGCTTGCAATCGACTTGCGACGATTTTACCGAAATACAGTCAAAGCTCAAGAAAAATTGATTGTTGCGGTACTTGCAAGTGATCCCAGACATTTTGACACTTGATTGAATGATACGTTGTGATATAAAACGATACTATCGAACACTGTATCGAAGAAAAAGGTAAGCTTATAAAGTAGGTCTTCTGATTTGATCGACGAAAATAATGTTATTTTGTCTACTCGTACACGTTACTAGAGCTTAATTCGCAGAGAGTTTGTGTATCTTTTTAAAAAAGGTTTACTTCCTAATTATTTTCGTGATATCTTCACTCCTGCAAGTCAGACCCATTCGCATAAATATAAGCTACGAGAAATTACAATTCGTTTTCATATAAGCTTATTTCCTTGTCAAGGTCCTAAGTCTTTGAACTCGCTAAGTCAGGAAATTCAAAATAGTGAAAATATTGGTTTGGTTGGAAAAAGACTGAAAAATTCCTTGTTTCCTAGTCACATGAACTCTTTTGTGGAGCTACGTATGTTTTCTTTTCTTCCTCCACTACTTCCATTTTTTTAAAATAATGGTCTATTTTTCATTCAGTTCCCTTAATTAACATTCTTAGGCGGAAGTTCATAATCCCCCAGCTTCACTACAGGTTTCCAGAGATGCCAGCCTCTGAAGATTTAAATTCTGGAGAGTCTCTCTTTTGGCATATCCAACAGGCCCCTTCCCCCGCCCCCCTCCCTCCCCTCCCCCTCCCCCCATAACAAAATATCAGCAAGTAGTAGTTTGTCTATATCAGTGTTTATCACCATTTCAAACAGTGTACATTTTTGGTGTAAAGGTTGACAACTGATCTCACCATTTTGTCTGATGCCAACTAACATACTGCTTATGGAACCTAGAACTTATTATTTCACACCTGTGAATGGAACAATGCATGTTGAGAAACTTATGTGGTTGGACCTTAGGAAAAATTCGCACTGTTTCAAATTTCATCGATCTTATTCAATTTCTTTTAGTTTGTAAAATCTTGGCGAAATTGTGTGGGGTTGAATCCATGAGGACCGTATCTGAGTTGAGAAAAAGAAAAGGAAAATTTTTGTGCTGTGGTCACCAACTCCATAAAGCGGGCACATGAAATAGTTTAATTAGGAAGTTCCATGTCGCTGACTGCTACGACGGCTAAGAAACGTCCACATGCAAAGTTTTTGTTTTAGTGTTCTCATAGCCATCGCTGTCGTTGTTGCTTAAACTCCATGGCCGTGTTGTCCGAAGCTGGGTTAAGATAACTCAGGGTTAGTGCAAATTTTGAACTCAGATATGAGAGCGCAAAAAGCAAATTCAGTTTAATTCTCTTTCCCTACAATTTGATGATTGGATACTCTAAAAGGAATAGAGAAAATTATCCGAGAGAGTGCTTCTGATAAAAAGAGAAAGAACCTCGGGTTAAAATTTAACCCCAGGTTAGCACTAACCAGCATTCGAACAACTGGGCCCATATTGTTGGGATCCAGAAATGTTGCTACCATGGTAACATGTCATCACACTTCTCCTCTCTATTAGCACGGATTAAAAGGTGCTAATAACTTGTTCCTCATCTGCCAGTACAAACATTTCACAGAAAGTATTCCTCATTAAAAGACAGTATATGGCAAAAAGCATCCAGTCATTTTTCCCTATGGATGACTAGCGGATACACCTTTATCAGAGGAGATAGCTACTACATATATATTTGTCACATATCTTGCACCAGTCCCTTGTTTTTTTTTGTTTTTTTTTCTAAGCAACCAGCTGTAAGACCTTCACCACATTTTCACCAAATTCATGCCTTGGGAGCTGGTGAAATCACAGGCGGCCCAGACGTAATATGCGTCACTGAATGAATATATTAATATCTATATGGACAAATTAATGCGATGAGTCGGCGAAACTCCCATGGACTAAAATAGTCTAAAAGTCAAAATATAACAAAACAAAGCTAAGATACCTTCAACCGAACGTATCCTTGTCTTTCCTGGCCGGTTTAAGTGGCATTT